TTGTTAGAAGTCAAATTATAGTGTAGTTTTTTGTCGTCGGTTTCTGACATAACAGTAACTGTCCCACCCATCGTCGACTTTAAAGGCTCCATTCTTTGGACGACGGCTGAAAACTGGTCCTTATAATACACTTGTTTAATTTCAATCTGAGTTAAGTAAACTCAGAGGCAGCACTTCTTGAATTGGGATAAATTTCTATAATAATTGATTCGAAGATGCGGTTAGGTGGGATGTCATGGGCATGCCTTCGAATTGGAATATTTGGGTACCTAAATCAATCTTAACGGTGTAAATTTTGAACCTTGGCAGTAGGACTGTTCAGCCAGCGATGCGATGCAATGAGACTAATAATTGTTCTATCGTAACTTACTTTGAGGTTGCGGATTAAATGTATCTAAACGGGCTTAGGGCATCGAGTCTCAGTTTCGAAATGATTGCAGGGACAGCGAAGCAAAAGTTTTTATCTGTACTGAGTAATCAAGTGTATGACGTCATGGAATACAATCTTCCAATAGTATGGGCAGAAAATAAGTTGCAGATCATGGTACAGATTAGTGGTTTTCTTACATTGTCTTGCCTGAAGTGGGCTCGAATGTGTTTAACGAGCTGAGACAGTTGTAATTTATAAACCTCTGAGTGCATGTCTGAAGTCGTCTGTGCTCAGCCCACCTTTCAAAATGGTACTTTTTAGCGATTAATCAGCTCGCTTACGTTTTCTGTCTCATGCATTAACCTTGTGTGAGTTTTAGCCAATGTTTTGTATCCACCACTCATGATTTCGGTGTCATAGATAACATGACATTTGGATCTCTTTCATTCCTGTTTGGCCAACTGAAGCCTTTTCTTCAGGCGTCATCTACGTTCTCCTTTATTTAATCTACATTTGTGTTTGGTACTGGCCAATTGCCGATATCACTTCTAATGATTTCGTCAGCAAAGTGCGCTTCCTTCGCACACTCAGCTCATCTGTTTTTCTAGAAATGGCAGGCCATTGCTAATCAATCCGGCGTTCTAAAGTAAACTATGAGATACAAGATTTCCTACCACCGTGAAATACGCAGAGCAATGTGTGTAAAAGTTAGTTAATCATTGGGGCAATTTGATAACTTCTTTTAAAACAAAATCGAATAGAAATTTTTGCACTAAAATTAGCATTTGCGTTTTGTAAGGCACTTTCCCACCCCCCCTAGTTTCTTCAAAGAAAGGTTTTTACGATCACGTGGTTCACATGACACCCCCAAATGGTTTGTTCTCAGAATAGTGGCCGTGGTGTTGTGAGAGAAAGGTGGAAAACTTAAAAAACCTAGCGCGCCACGTAATTAGGCATGGCGATAGGCAACGTTACGGGACCTAAATACGTTAATGCAGACGTCACAAGTTCTGTTTTGGGAACAGTTTTTGGAACTAAAAATCCATAAATTCTCTTAAATCCAAATATTTCTGGTCCAAACTTTGATAATTTATCAAGTGTAGCTCTTTAAAAAATGGTATTTATTACTTATATTTGCCGCGGATCCAACTCACTCTTTCAGACATCTTGTAGACAGTAACTGTCAACGTAAATTCCAGTCCCACGACTGAACAGACTCGCCGAATCCCCAATGCATTTAAGATGATATGGAACGCCCAACAACGTTTACTTGTTATCATAAGCAATTAACGGTACAGCATTAAGCATTATACAGTAAATTTATGCAACAAATATGCAGAGGACACTTGCTTACCACCCTGGGATTACGTGGGGTTCGCGCATCCAGTGAGCAAATTGCTAGTGGCGCTCGGTGATGGGCAACGGATAGATCCAGAATGACGTTTTAAATATCACACAAGTTTCATCGCCACTCAATCAGACACGTGACTGCTATTTGTTTCAGCAAGATTTAATTGCATTTTACTCACAATGGACTCTAATGTCGGGGATTTAACTCTAGGAATGCGATTTATAGTATAAATACGCTTAATTATTGTATTTTGCTTTATTTACCAGTGGGTCGCTTCAGTCAGAGAATGAAACTGGTTTTCTGGAGAATAGCATTAACTAGATTTCAGTATTGTTTGTAAATGAGCGTTTGCATGGTTGTCTGAAATTAATAATCATAGGTATCACGGCGTTACGGGGTCAATCACCTTCTCCCAAGTGCTTTTTGGATTGAACTTCAGGCTTGGTCTTCTTAACCAATCATATTTGGCAGAAATGAATAGGCCTCTCAGTGCTTTGGAATCGATTTTAACTAGAACAAGGTTGGGGCCCTTTTATCATGTGTTTGTTTTGATTGAAAAGTTTTCTGTCGACGGATAAACATCAACCTGAAGCGTGGGCGAACATCAGCTACCGCTCCAGGATGCGAGGTGTCATCTCTCGTGAGTTCGCACTTGCACATCATAGAAACCAATGCATGTGGAACGATTTGCTTAGATTCCTCCTCCCTATAAACAATTAAACGCGTTTTGAGTCATTGATCTGTCACCTTTTAGACTTTTCATTACAACTCTTTTTAATACGTTTGTGTAAGCCGCTCAGGTTTTTAATTAAATCGCTTTTAGACAGTCAGCTTGGTTACCCTTCTCGTCCACCCACTAATCTGCATCTATCATTGACACGACACTTAGTGGGTGAGTTCTAAAACCGAAAATGCGATTCCCGAGACCATACTTTTATCAACAAACAGAGTTGCATTTCATCATTTGTCAGTATTCGTTGTTAATCAAAATACGACCTGGACTGAAATCCCGATACGTAGTTGCACACACCACCTCCATTGCATCCAATTATCCGCACGAAGGATTAGCGCCAAGTCCCTGTTAAGAATTTCTCGTTTCTGTCTTATTAGTTTGGCAACGAAGAACAAATGCACACACGAGACAGCCTCCCGCCTACACGGTGACAGGCAATTGTTTATCACGCGCAGCTGCTGGTGGTATGCTATGCCAAGTGTGCAAGTAACCATAATATCGATAAAAGCTAGAGCATCTCCCGACAGAGACCACGTTTCCATCGGTAACATTTACCTTGATAGAAAAGCGCATCAGTGTGAGCACACAAAACTAGAATCACGTTTGCGTTCACGTGATTCCTACACAGCCTTTCCCAATTAATTTGCCTTAGTCATATTTGTGTTCCAGTCGCGTGTGCTTGCAAAATGAAATTCTACCCTCTTAGACAAACTCTTACACCCGTGAGGGATGATTGACTTAAAATAGAAAGGGCACTCAGCAGTAAAGCAGTGAATTTTCACTACCTTGCGCAACAACACCATTCGACAAAAACTAATATCGGTCTAAAAGCGCGCTGCATACCCCACCAGACACGATAGGAAAGGCGTTGAGCTAGGAAGGCGACATTTGAACTTGTTCTTAAGTAACCAGCAAAGCTGACGTGGCGAAAACAAGTTTGCTTGAAAAAAACTGGTTCCCCTGATTACTATTTGACATTGCTTTTATACCTGGGTTATTGGCTTGAGTCCACGTAATCGCACTCAAGACAAAAATAACATTGGCCTAAGTTCGCCTGTTTCTGAACAGGTTGATTTTTTGCTGCGACGTTCCCCATTTTCATGGAGAATGCAAAGCAAGAGGGCTCCCTTCCATGCGTGTCCCCACCGTGTGGTGCCTAAGGGGCCACGAGTGAGGCGTGTGACAGACTTGGAGCGCACACGTCACGGGTGACCCCAGTGTGCTCCGGCGAGGCGCAGAAAACGTGCCCATCCCTACCTAGCGGTCATGCCATCGGGCCTCTGAATTTGGAGCACGAAGCCACAGAACACTTCAACGAAAATGCATCCGTTCATCTGATTTCTCATGGCCCACCTATTTCTTTCAACTAACTGTGGTACGCTCACAACATCGATTTAGATTTCTACAGAACTAGTTCAATCTTGATGACGGAGAATCGTTAACCTGCACTATAATTGCCAACGATTTAGAGTGATTCCATCTATACACTGAATACTATTAAACAGCAAAAGGTGCCTTGCGATCGCCATCGTCAAAAACCCATTGCCTAATCACCTGGGGATAAAAGTTTTGTCAACATTCGCAAAAATTTCAATTGGAGGTTCTTCATCGGTTGTCAATATAGCTACACTAACTACTATAATGTTAGAAAGAAGTACTGCTCATTCGGAGACCAGTTTTTCCACTAAGTTGTTCGATATTTTTAAAGCGTTTGAGATCTTCAACTACGCGACATCACACGGCAGCGGATTGACCAAACAGGCTACTGCAGAATGAATTTACTCATCGCTTGACAGGTCTGAAGACTGAACACGGCTGACCCCGGAAAACTCATCGCTGCACATACAATGCTTGGGTGTCGGAAGACAAGATTCAACAGACCCGCTGATTATAGGGAGCGGGGTAACGATCGCAAGAAACACGAAACCCTAACAGTCGCATACAGTCCCTAGAGGTATTGTGGCGATAGTTGTTTGAAATTGACCTAAGTTGCAAAACGGTTAATTCCGAGAGAATTATTAGGGTCTGTGTCTAAGCTGTGGCTGGGTTAGCCTAGTTTCAGACGTCTAAGAACGGACCATGACTGTACAGATAAACGAAGAATAAAAACACTTGACGACAGGACCAGAATAAGTAGTCTGGGGAGGCACCTCAGACGACGAACATAAAACTCTGCGTCATGTTGCAATGGACAAACCGATGTCATCGCGGACCCCTTTCCCGCATCAAGGCTAGATTAAGGGGAGGTAAGTGTACGTACATAAAAATTACGTCATTATTGCTTTAGTGGTCATAAAAGAAGGAATAATACAGGCAATCGAAAATAATATTAATATACACAGTCGTGCATGCTTTTTGGTTTTAACGATGGGTATACATATTTACAAAGATGCATCAGGTAAATTCACGCAAAATGGGTGTTCGAGTGTGTGCTTTGGTCTAACGTCAGTAAGGTTGCATAAAAATATTTGTGTGTATGTATAGATTCTACCTAAATATTTTTGCTCAAATAGGCACACCCTGTACACGTCAGCCAGCCGACCGGGTCAATCTTGCTCGATCATGTTGATGTCCAATTCTTGGTACTTCTCCATTGATGGGGTAGAGGCGACATCTTCAGTTTGCATAGGGGAACACCTTTGACGATGACTTAGACCAGGTGCGATGGCTCCGAATGAGTCATCGTCGTCAACGTCATTCTCCTCATCATCACTGAACACAATGATGTTGGGATCATTGGTCTTAAAGGAGCACGGAGAACCTTCGGTGGAAAACGAGCTGTGGTGGTGGTGACCTTCGGGGTCCTCGTCCTGTGAGGGAGAGGGTGCGATGGGACGAAAGCGGGTTTGGGGAGGAGGTGGGGTTAGGGTTCCCGTGTCATACTCCTCCAGAGGACAGCAATGTTGGTGTTGAATAAGGGCTGCCTCGTTGGATTCCTCTTCTTCGCTCGCCTCAGACAGGCCGGACAACTCTTTTCGGCAACAGGAGATGATGAAAGCCGCCTCTGAATCCTAGCAAGAGTATTATTCAACGTTATGATCAGATACGAATTTAACTAAAAAAGGCGCCTACAGTTCATATCACATGTTGATACGCATTAATTCTAAATACCAGCTCCAAATGTTTACATTGGGTGATGACTAAGGGGAGTAAACATTGGCGGACCAGAATTCCAATTCTCAACCACATCGAGTAGGGATGGGACGTACACATTGGGTCCTACACTTTGACAGTTCAAAAACTTCGAGGACGAAGAGAGAGAGAGCTTGTCTAAATTTGCCTTGAAGGTTAAAATGATCTGTTCCAAGGTACATGACGAAATCATTGGGCAAGCACGTTCTGGAATGTAGGTACACAAATAAACAATCAGAACACTGACCTGTGGGTAGACAGCAATTTCCGCTTGGCTCTGTTGCTGTATGCGCAGAGGACTGGCCGATGCGTCATGGTTGACAGTGGCAGCTTCTACAGCAAGATCTGAGGTGGAGGCGTTCTCAAAGGAACTGACGTGCTGTTGTGAAGTCATTAGGAAGCCCTTATTGTCGGATTCCCAGGCCAAGTCCACGTCATGGCTGCATCGACGTCGCTTGAGGCCAACTTGTCGGGAGAGGCACTCTGCAGAGGCGACTGAGCCGCAACCGCAAGTGGGAGCGCCCGCAGCACAAGCAGGCTGCGACTGGCAACGTAGTTTTGCTTCTATGGCGCACGCATGGTGCTGCTGGTCGAAGACAGAGAGACTGGTTGTCGAGTCGGTGGACTCGTCAGACTGAGGAATCTTATTGTTAACAGTCTTGCTAACCAGGCTACAGTGGTGTATTTGGTTCCCGACCTACATAAACATAAAAACACAATTGGTAATAACACAAAGCGATATCTGAGAAAAATATATAAATGGTTAAACTGATACATTGACCTGACGCTAAATCGACCTTTAAACAATGACCACATCTTTAACACTGATATCTGTTTTGATTAAATGGCTGCCGTTATTTTACTATTCTAGTTATCTTGCTACCTCTTCAGAACTTATTTGTTGTCGTAATCATGAACGATGTTTATGGCTTTTGGGTGACACATACACACCTTCACATTACAGTGTAGACATTGCTCCGAGCTACTTGGGATATTTTTGATGTGATCTACCTCGGTGTGTTGGTCTGTGCGAAGGAACTAAAGCCTGGCAAACAAGTGTTGCTTACAAGAGCTGGCGTGAAGTGGTTATGTTGCTGCCAGACTGGCAACATATAAGAGGAGTTAAACGAAAAGTGAACAAAACTTCGCAGTTCGAAGTTGAAAAAGATATACCAAATAATTCTGAGACTAACTTCGAATGAAGAGTCAATGGACATTGGCGGCATTAAAATCGTGAGACAGGGAATGAATAGAACTGGATTAAAATTACACACAATCACGGTTTGGCGGAGCTCTAACTCAAGACACCATGGTACCTAGTCTATCTTTTCTGGTGGAAGCGTTATTTCAAGAAAGGTCCGTAGCTTCTCGAGTACTTAATAATAATTTACTACCGGAATCAGAAACAAAAAGCAACCATCCAACAACGAAGGACCGGCACTTGAGAGAGCGAAGAGAAAATAGGTCGGGCATCGACGGGTGGTACTGTTTGAGACAATAATTGTATGGGTTTAACAAATTTCCGACTCATTAAAGTGCATTACCCGAGAAGAGTGCTGATCTGAGTTAGTGGAACTGCTGCAGGAGGAATGCGAGAGGCTGCAACTGTCCTGGAAAAAGCCAGAAGAGGCCGCGGAGACTGTGGGACGGAATAAAGCCACAGAGGGGGGCACACCAATGCCCCCGTAAGGCGAGGAAACGGTGTCCGGAGAGAAGGCTGTAATCGGGACCATCGTCTCACCTTCATCGCCTGTTAGACTCATGCGTCGCGACTGCGTTGTTGGAGTAAACGCGGACAGACGGCTAGAAAACGAAATACGGAAAAGTAGGAGGAGGATTTAATTATTTATTGTTAACCCATTGTCATTACCATGATTTCTAAACTCCTCATTAACTTCCCCGAACCGTCATATCAAAATTTTAAGACTACGTCCCTCTCGCTAGTGAGAATTGCAATATACAATAAACCAGCATATTGCTTGTCTACGCCAGGTGTACTCTCGGTGCGTAATAATAAACAACCAAGTGATAGCACAATGAATACGCAAATTGGGCGCGCGTTTGGCCAAATCAACTTGCAGGAGTGACGCTTGTGCCTTCAACCTAGGCATTAATAATATCACTTAAAAGACTTCCACCACATGTTTGCGCGTGAAAAGCGGACACTAGAAGCTATTATAGAGCGCACGTAGTATGTTTCACAATATCGAAGGGGCTATAATGACCAAGTCAGGGGAGTGATTTTAATACAACTAACTCAAAATGCCCTCAATACCGGTCTCCTCACCACAATGCAACCCACAAAGGCTCGTTACTAGGAGTGTTCTTAAACCCGATAACACCCAGGTTCTATGAAGTAGGTACAAATTGAAATAGCGCCTCAATAAATCTCATGGGAATCGTCTGGAAGCACTTGTAATATCATCTTAGCACAGCGACCAATAATGTTCTATCACTTGATTCAGAGCTCGCACTTTATACATAACACTTGTGATCGGTCAGTAATATTAATTTTATCTTTTTGTAAATGCATTTTCCGAGAATAAACTCACTGATGGCTGAAGTCGCTGGTATTCGACATGGAAGTTGAAATGCTGGCAAGAGAAGGAGGTTTCCGCAGTTTTACCTCTCCCGTGAGCTCCGGGGTTGTACCGCCACATACCACGCTATGGCGTGAGCAACCCGAAAAGCCAGGATAAACTATGTAACGCCTACTTCCACCACATGCAACCGGGTGATGCCAGGAAAGTCGAGAAGTCGCTGCACGCAACTGGTGTCCTGTGGAGGTCGTATTGCGTAGTTTAACACAACCTGAGGCGACAAGTGCGTGAGCAGTGGAGGAAAGAGCGGAGGTACTAGCGGTAGTGTTAATCGCTGTGGCAGGTGAATAAACGGCCCTTTGTGGGATTCTGAGTGCAATGGGTCGTGCGATGCCTCTCCGTGGTCCTGCGCCGCCTGGAAGCTTTTGATGCGAGCTTACGCTCTGTGATCGACAAGAACGCTTTGGAGGGGGTTGTTGAGAGGGTGCGTTCTCGGTCGAGTCGAGCCGCTGCTGACAGAAGCAGCAACATTTCCGCTCTTCCGCTTCACTCCACGTGACTGGATCTGTGGCTGTGATGAAGAGGGCGCCAGGACCATCAGGTGCACTTGTTGATACTGTGGAAATCAAACGGATGGCAAAGTTAACATTTTGACTGGTGACTCACACAGGGCTGGAGATGATGCGACGCATTTTTGCCAGCATGTTAAGCTTTGCAAGCGCACACGTTGGGCTTTGCATTACGCTGCCACTTTAAATTAAAGTTCCATCGGAACTGTTTTACGAAGACACGAAGTGTAAACTATTACCAACAAACAGACACCACGATGGTTTATGAAATCTTAATTTTACTCAGGCATGTAACCTGCAAATAATAATTTGTGGAATTGCCTGGAAAATAGCTGGGGATTGTTAAACTAAGAAAATTGCTTCAAAAGGTTTGGATACTGAATTACATCAACAACTGCAATGAGAGCCCACTCAATTGAACCTAAAAACAGCGACTGCGAGAAAACCGCATGAAGGAGAAATCGAGAACCGCATTTTAAATACAATGGCTTTGGAATGCAAGAAAATTAGCTGACCCTGGTTTTGGCATTGACAACGCTGCTCACGGTCTAGAACTTGATCCAGCGTAAAATTTGTGTGCCCTTAACTCGCTACAAGACGGGATTCAATAAAACTCGGCGGAAAATATGGCCCATGAAGGGAAACACACATAAAGTCGTTTTAGAGTAATGAAGTTAACACAAAAAACTTACAACAACGTTGCAAATTAGGCTGGTAGAGATTCGAAACGATGGGTAAGTCATCTGTGCTTTCAGGGGCCCGAGATGACGACGAGATAGGGTAAGTGCCGACCTGGGTTGCGTTGCGTGTGTGTCAAGTGGGCGGCGAGGCCAAGGGGACAGGCGAATCGCGAAGGCAGTGGGGGAAAAGGAAGATAAATTATAAATTGGCAGACAGAGTGAAGGCACACACGCACGCACGAGTTGGCAGCACGCCAAATGGACCGCCAGGCGTCAACACAAAACGCATTCACCGCTACCTGGTGTATCACGTGGAAGTGTGTGCGTACGCGCGCGGAGCAAAATGCGTCCGTACGACCCCAGTCCAGTGTTCGCCCGTACAAAGACAAACACGATGCGTCACGTGTGGCATGATATGCACACACACACACACACACACACACAGGCTCCTACCTCGACCAGGCAGCTCGCGCGCCAAAATAGACATCAACACACACGCACTTGGCTCGCTGGCTTAACGCTGGGAGGCTCGCGCTTGCATTTGCCCACGGAACGGGAGTGGGGGAAAAGGTGTGGACACAGGCGCGGGGTATCCTGTTCAGGCTAGGTACTTCTAAAGCAAGTGCCTGGAGCATCAGTAGTGAATTTTCGAAGTAGTTCAAATGTTAGGTGGTTTTGGCTCAGGGATCATATACGTGGACAAAACTGAGAAATAAAGTATTATGCGCCTAATCACTCGCTGTACACTTTAACATAAACACGAGTGCGAACAACAGGACAACAAAACTTATTTCTGAGGTGGCATTAGCAATGATGGAACTAGAGCGGTGAATGATAATTTGATCTGATCCAATTTGGACGTATAAGACAACAATGGGAAAAAAGGTGGTTAACGGAGTAAGAAAGCCCTGCAGAGGACTGTTAAATAACTCACCCAACTTTCTGAGTCCTCATTTCCAGAATCGCAGGTGATAGGACTAGCATCAACGTCTGAGGAGGTAGTAGGGGGCCGTTGGTTATCAGGGATAACGTCGTTAATCCAACAAACCTCTTCATCTGTAAAATTCACTGCTTTGGGGCGTCGCGCACGCCTCATGAACATGGTTTCCGTGCGATCGACAGACCCTACTGGATTGAGATCGTATGGAGGATCGTGAAGGTTCGAGCACTTTAGCCGGTCTGCAAGCATCGAGATCGATGAGGGAGGGCGTAGCGGCGGGACCCTGAGGGATTCTGCGCTTGTTTCCGACATTATGGCATGCTACAAGGAAAGTAAAGTCGTTAAAGACCTTACAAGAAATAAGTCATTAATGTCCTACATATAATTAGTTTAAGGTGCGAATGAACGCCCCTTATTGCTTGGCACGTTGCCAACACGCAGATAGCTCACCGTGCGGAAGGGTGTGCGTAAGTGGAGGGCGATGTGTGCGCGCACAATTCATGCGCCTCGTGCGTGCACGTACGTCCATGCCCGCGCGCGCGACTGCATTTCATCTGCCGTCATTAGAACGGAAACGCGGAGCTCAATGTACGCAAGCGGTTAGTTTCGCAACGCGCAAAAGCAGATACCTAGATGGTTAATTAGTTTTTGTTCATGCATGAACGTCTATGGCCATAAGTATTTTTCCATACATACCGCAAATGGTGAGTGGTAAAAAACGCAGGATGTCTCCACAAAATTAGTCCTTTTACATTGGAATTATAAACAAGCATATAGATTTTGCTAACGGAAATTACCACTGAGAGCAATCATGGTCTAGGAGTTGTAACTGACGGTTATCCATGACGTAATTCTACCATAACCCGTAATTTATTACCACACTCTGGGACTTAAAACAAGATTCAACAAGGCAAATGAACCAGAAGGCTAAAGACAAAAATTAAACATTGGGCGATGCTAAATAGGTCTCAACGTGTCCATTTAGCAAATTTAAGTTGGAGTCTCCAGAGACCAGCACTATTTCGGATAGAGGAAAGCACGCCTAGACACAAATCAAAACTACTACACTGACAAGCCCAAAAACTACAATTCCATTAAAAAGTCGCCCTTTTAAGAGTACATGCGTGGGTGAGATCTTTCTCAAGGGCACACGCCAAAACAAATCAACGACTTAAAGACCAACACCGAGAACCCTGTGTTAAAATGGTAACGAAATGACACTGTTCAGACTCAAGGTGTCACTCATGCTTCAGCCATAAATGATAAAATGTCAAAAAAATTACGATATGATGCTAACTAACATAGTACTAAGCGGAGAACTTCTTGCTAGGAACAGTCTGTACCATTTGGGGTCAAAATCAGACATATTAATAGAAGAGACAATATTGGTTTATTTAGCAATGAGTGCAATAGGAAGATAAAATACGGATGAAATAACGCTTGATGCTTCCAATAAAGCCCCACCGGCATTTAGTGAGAACAACATAAACAAACATATTCCATTGCATTTCGTTGACACAAACGGAAAACAAACATTTGGGATAGGGTTGAATCAAAATGATATAGTTAACGACAACAAAACTTTTGGTAAACTAAAAAAATTGGCTGCACCAAAGCATGTAAAGGAATTACACCGGTATTTAATTAACGAAATTCTCCGACACCGGGAAAAATAACTAGAGGGAGACTTACGTTACCAGTAATACTAAGAACGGTTTCAAGTAAAACAACGTCATGCACTACAGTATTTGAGTGTAAAAATAATCGGAAGAGCGTAAAAATGAGGAACGACATCAAAATGGACTAATCAAAGAATACTTCTCACCAGGCGATTTGTGGCGCAAACCAGTCCCTGACAATAAAATAGCCGCCGAATACACTTAAAAAAATCATCTAAATTAGCCTGTTAAAACCTTTCAATGCCATCAGCAAAAAATACTTTGAAATACCTTAAAAAGCGTTTTTATTGATAGCTTATAGTAAATAGCCTTTAATCATGAAGGATAGCAATTAGTAATACAAATGACTAAGAAATAATGCCTTACGGTGGTCAAACTCGTTCCAATTTTTAAAGAACTGTCTTTCCGCCATATATAACGTTAATCCTTACGTTTATCCACACACAGCATTAAGATAAAATTTCAAATAACATAAAGCAATGCTATGACCCAATTGATACCACCAGTAATTCTGCAACAACTCCTTTATCAATTTTTCAATGGCAAATATATTTAAGTAGTCTCAAAGAATCCAAATAAAAAGTAGTGCTGCATTTTTAAGGTCAGAGAACTTTTGCTTACAATCTAAGTAGATTTTGATAAAAGGTATCGTTAAATTTACTCTTGGTAAACGAAACAAATTTTATTTACATGAATTTGTTTTTGACCTTGGCTGAAGTGACATTAATTCCATTTAACATAAACTGGTAAAACAGGCTAAAAAACTAGAACACCCACTTTTTAATAATTACAACAATAAAGAACTTCTTGTTTTCAATTCGGTTTGTTCTGGAGATAAATTAATTCTCAGAACAATGAGTGAAGATGCGGCTTGCTAATTGGGGTAGCGTCATGACGAAAATAACCTATTCGGCTAGATTTTTTTGCTAACTTATGGGCGATTTTTGTCTAAGACAATTTTGAGAAAAAAAATTAATAAGAAGATCATCTTCGTAAATATTTCACAGATAAGAAATCTCTCTGACACCCTCCTCACAGGTATAAATTGCTATTTGCCAAATAAAAGCACTAAACTCCCTAAAATTAATTAATCTGATGATTAGAATAACGGATTTCAATAGTGGAGATTACATGTTCAATATATTCGGCTTTATTGCCACAACACAAGGCAAAACTTTCCTCAGACCGTGTTCATCTGAGTTCTCAAATCTTTTCACTGATTGGCTGCTTAGTTAACCTCAAAGGCCATCCAAACGCAAATGAACATAGTGTCACATGTGCTAGGCGTGGTCCAAAGTGTCTAAGAAACAAACCACTCATAAATTTTAGCTTCGTGAAATAAGACTTCCAAGGTTCGGACTTAATCATTGCCCTGCCACTATGCCCTGCTCCATTTAAAAATATCTCGATTCCTCACACCCAGCATGCGATTGACACAAGCACATATTAGACATTGGGCACATGCTTCTGGTATGCTGAAGGAAAGCTCCGTCAGTCATCACAAGTAGAATCTCCACTTAAAATCCAACAGGATGCTAATATATTTGCTTTTTTCTTTAATCTGCCAATGCCGATTCGGATGTAGTGTTCAAACAAATTTGAAATCTTTCGGATCAAATTCTGTCGGATATTTGTTGAATTTAGTTGCTAAAATCCAATCTAAATTCGTGGACTTGAGCATGATAAGTGGCAGGTTCCAGTTTTCATTAAAATTCTTTTTAAATTGTTACCCAAAAGGGAAAATCGAATGGGCTGCGGTTCAGTATGGGGTATTATAACTGAGCCAGAGTATGGTAAAGACACATGAAATAGGGCAATTTTTATTGGTGTAAAAATGCAAGATAAGTTTTTTGAGTGCCACTCATTAGATAGATATTTTCCATAATATCAATGCTACAGGCCGATTGCTCACTTTCATCACAAGCAATTCGAATGCAGGTAAACATGGTAATTGGGCGGGCCTGAACTTATATGGATTACCTAGCCCTAGTATCAAGGAAACTAATGCAACAAAACAGGCTTTATTGACCAACCGCAGGCCAAAACCATACGTCAGGCGCCTTCCATCTTAGTCAACCACACTGGCTGCGCAGCTCGTTATATACCACTTCAAATTCGTGTCTATCTCTGGTTGGCTACATATCTTCCTTGCAAGCCATTGTAGCGCAAATAGACAGATAATTGACTGAGGCCTGCAAGGTCTAAAATTTCTGTGCCCTAATTCTTCTACATTGGTTAATAATACACGAGGCCTAGAACGGAGAAGTCTGGTACAACAGAACAGGCCTTATTGACAAATCACAAGCCACAACTACGCATCAGCGCTCTTTATATAGCGTTCCCCATACGTATCTGTCACTGGCTAGCTGCATGTCTTCCTCGCATGCCATTAGTACGCAGAGAG